CCGGGCAGCCGGGGGCCCCCCCCCCCCCCTCCCCCCCCCCCCCCACTCCCGCCATGCTCTGGGAGGCAGGGGCACCCACAGTGCAGGAGCCAGGGCATTCTGTGGGCATCTGTGAGGGGCTGCTGGGGGTGCTCTGGGTCACCCCCTCCCCCAGGCATGCCCTCAGCAGGGTGCACAGCCCCGCAAGAGCCAGCCCACCGTCCCGGTAGCTGTCGCAGGCAGACTCGGGCGTGTGAATGAGCTGCCCTGGGTGACCGCCCCTCCGCTCTGCTCCTCAGTGGACCCCGAGGCCCTGGTGCGGGAGGAGCAGGCCAGCACCATCTTCCAGTCGGAGCAGGGCAAGAAGACCATCGACATCTACTGGCTGTTCGACGATGGAGGTCAGCGCCCACACACACACACACACACACACACACACACGCACACACACACATGCACACATACACATACACGTGCTCTCTCCGGCCGTCTTCCCTCCACGGCCCTCTGTCTCTTGGCCTGCCCTTCCTGGCCGCTCTTGACACGGACTCTGGTGGGACCTCTGAGCCCTGCAAAGGGGGGACCGGGGCCCCTGGGCCCACCCCTGGGCTTGGGGGAGCTTAGGCGGGCTCCTCTTTTGGTCCCCAGCTTTTTATCTGTCAAATGGGGACTTACAGAGAGGAACCATGTCAACGTGAACCGGAACCTTCAGGTTTGATGGGCCTCAGGGTTTCAGCACACAACATACATGGGGAAGGGGGGCTGGCGCCTAGGAAGGCTCAGGAATATTGACTTCCCACAGAAATACGCTCTCGCCCGTTTTTCTTAAAACCCATGACTCAGCTCTATCGGCCCAACCTCTGATGTTTCTGCTCTAATATGTTCTCTGAGTGACAGCCACCTTGACTGAGCACTTACGCTCGACGCTAAGTGCTTCACGTGGGTTCACCTAACGCAGCCCCCTGGTAGGAACTATTATTAACCCCCTTTACAAATCAAGAAAGTGAGGCCCAGGGTGGTGACATCATTTGTCCAAGGTTACGCAGTCACAAGGGACAGCCGGTCCTTGGCCTTGTGAGGAGAGATGACAGGGAGGGCTGAGGGCCCCCACCCGCTGGTCAAATGTTCAATCTTCAAGAAATGCCCGAGATCCTGATTTTAAGTGAAATCCCCCAATTATTACACACCAGCTCACTTATTTGAAAGCATGGTGCAGGCCAAAGAAACCTGAGCCCACAGAGCCCTGTGTGCCACTCTGGCTTACTCCGGCATGCCGATTATACAGATGGGCAAACTGAGGTCTGGAGAGGGGAATTGGTGAGAACCCAGAGAGAGCTCCACCTGAGAGCATTTTCCTCTTGATTCCCGGGACCCTCCTTGCCAGGCCTCACCCTCCTCATCCCCTACCTCCTCGGCCGCAAGAAGAGATGGAGCAAATGCAGGATCCGAGTGTTCGTGGGCGGCCAGATCAACAGGATGGACGAGGAGAGGAAGGCGTAAGTGGGGAGCGGGCGGTGTCCCCTTGATAAGATGCAGATGCCCCAGTCCCAACCATGACAGGGAGGGATGTTATATTTTAAAATCACACATCTGCTCAGGGAGAAACCTGTGTGAAATGAAGGCTGGAAAAGACCCCTCCTCCTGGGAAATGAGGCAGAGCTTAGAGTCCGGAGGGCCATGTCCCCGTCAGGCGTGGGTGGCCATCCCTGGTGAGACAAGAGGTGACTTTAAACCTATTTTTATTGACTTCAGAGAGGAAGGGAGAGGGAGAGAGAGATAGTAACATCAACAATGAGAGAGAACCATTGATCGGCTGCCTCCTGCACTCGCCCCACTGGGATCGAGCCCACAACCCGGGCATGTGCCCTGACCGGGAATCAAACTGTGGCCTCCTGGTTCATAGGTCCACTCTCAACCCCTGAGCCACCACGGCCAGGCCTCGAGTGACAGCAGTGGCCAGGAGATGGGGCAGCAAATTCTATGGAATAAGCGACAGTTGTCCTCGACTTTGTGGCTGACTCTGCGGAAGGCTTACGTCCTACCTAAGGCAGAGAGGGTGGGCCTGGCTGGGGGCGTGGCAGGCGCTGGCATCCAGCCAGAATCTGGTGGCATTGGTTAATTTGCCTGGGTTTTATTGGTCACCTCTTTAATCAGATGTGTAGACACATTAAAACGTGAGGTGTGCAGCCCAGAGCTGGTCACAGGTACTGGCCAATTACTTTTCCATGTCACTCGTCATCAGCTGACCTGCCTTATCAGAATGCGTTTATCGTCTGCTCCCTCCCCTACTCCCCGGCCAGGTTAGAATGTAAACTCCACGCGGGCAGGATTTGCTTTGTATTGCTCACTGCTGTGTCCTCAGCGGGCGAGCAATAAAAATTTGGGGAATGAATAGATCCATTGAAAAATATTTCTATATTATAAAAAAAAATATCTCCGTCTTGCCCTGGCGTGGCTCAGTGGTTGAGCGTCGACCTATGAACCGGGAGGTCACGGTTCGATTCCTGGTCAGGGCACGTGCCCGGGTTGCCGGCTGGATCCCCAGCTGCGGGGCGCGCAGGAGGGAGACAGACAATGATTTTCTCTCATCATGGGTGTTTCTCTCTCTCCCTCTCTCCCTTCCTCTCTGAAACCAATAAAAATATATTTAAAAAGAAAGAAAGAAAGGGCTCCCGCGGACCAACCTTGAAACACACCCACCTCCGTCCATCCCACCCACAAGGACCTGAGGGCGGTGGCCTCGGATCCGGGACCAGGACCAAAGGCTCGCAGCCGGTCCCTGACCACAGGCGGTCCCTCGAACATCTGCTCTGAGGAGCACCGTGGGGCATGGGCGCACACCTGGGTGGAGGCGACCTTGGCGGAGGCTGCCTGGGTGGAGGCCGGTGAAAGCCGACGCTGGTGCTTTTCTCAGAGCAAGTGTTTTTTTGTGTTTTTGTTGTTGTTGTTACTTCTCACCCGAGGATATTTTTCCACGGTTTTTAGAGAGAGTGGGAGAGAGAGGGAAAGACGGAGAGAAACATCGAAATGAGAGAAACACATGGACTGGTTGCCTCTTGCAGGTGCCCGATCAGGGCCCAGGTCAGGGTCACGTGCTCTTTAAGCTCTTTCTGGTGCGTGGAAGCCAGGAGCGAGAGAAACACATCGACTGGTTGCCTCTTGCAGGTGCCCGACCAGGGCCCAGGTCAGGGTCACTCACTCTTTAAGCTCTTTCTGGTGCGTGGAAGCCAGGCCGTCTTACCTGGTGTCCCTGCCCGCTCTGTCCCAGCACCAAGCGCTTTGAGGACATGATTGCGCCCTTCCGCCTGAATGACGGCTTCAAGGACGAGGCCACCGTGGCCGAGATGAGGCGGGACTGCCCCTGGAAGATCTCGGATGAGGAGATGAACAAGAATAGAGTCAAGGTGCAGAGGGAGCAGGGCCTCGCTGGGGGGAGGGGTGACAGGTGTTTTCGCGGGTCAGGACTCTGGGCCCAGGCGTCCTGAGCTTCCTTAACACCCTCCCCTGGCCCCCAGCCCTGCCCCCTCCCCTTCACACCCAGTCTGGGAGGCATCCTCCAGCCACAGTCACTGGGGTGTGCTGAAGGGTACCCGGTTGTGGGTTGTGGAACTCACAGCCATCCTGGACCTGAGATCCTGGTCCTCCCGCCCACTTTGACTCCCCCTCGCCATGGCGATGGACGGCCGGAGTCCGTCTCCCTCTCTCCCCCAGACCTCTGTGCCCCGTGGGGACTCTGAGACAAGTGGGGAGGTGAGGGAGAAGTTGTCCAGCAGCCTGACTCCTCCCCTTAGCCTGTAGCCCCGCCCCAGATGCAGCCAAAGCCGTGGCCACCCCCTCCCCAGACAGCACCCTCAGGACTTTCCTAAGGGCTGAAGGAGCCTGGTGGCCACCGTGGCCGTTCTGAGGTCAGGGGCTCGGGGATCACAGTTTGTCACCCGGGGGGTGGGATTGCTGCTGTCACTTGGTGAGCGGAGGGCAGGGATGATGCTAAACATCCTTCAGGCCACAGGCCAGTGCCCACAAGAGTTCCTCCTCCCCTAACGTCGGTAGTGTGAGGTCCGGGGCCCTGACCTAGGTTCATTCACTTCCCTCGATTTTCCATTCTCTCAAATGGGTGTCCGTCTCCTGCCAGACTCGGGTGCCAATCATTTCTGAACGGTTTGGAGACAGGCCTTGGGCTGGGCGGGAGCCTCCCCCCCTACCCTGGCCCCACACAAGCTTTGGGGATTCCTGCCCAGAGGCACACACAGCTCCCAGCTCCTTGGGAAAAGCCGAGAGTCCAAACGAGGCTCTCGCCGACCCTCTTATGGAGGATCGTCCCACCCCTGCTCGGACCCACCGTATCAGGAGCCTTCTGCCCGCTCGTGGGCTATGTCACTCCATCTCCCCCAGACTCCCCTGGGACGGGCCTCATACGCATTTCACAGATGGAGACAAGGGAGCCCAGGGAGTCAGCGTGCCTTGCTCAGTCCTCTCTATGCTGAACTATCAGCTGTCCCAGCACCACGTGAGCTGGTTCCCCCCATAGCTCCCCTTCCCCTGCCACTGACCTTCTGGCCGTGGTCATAAGGTCAGGCAAGGAGAAACCCAGGAGGGCTTCGCAGAGTAGGGCCGCTTCCTCCTCGAGGCAGGAGAACGGATAAGGATAGGGAGAAGGCACCATCCTGTCTGAAACGTTGAGGAGGCCCCCGGGCTGGGTGGGGATGCTCCTGGGGACGTGGGTGGTGACCTGTGGCTTTTCCTCGCCCAGTCCCTGCGGCAGGTGCGGCTGAATGAGATTCTGCTGGATTACTCCCGAGACGCCGCGCTCGTGGTCATGTGAGTAGCGGAGTGGCCTGGCGCCAAGGGCCAGGGTGGCGGCTTTGGGAGGGTAGCCCCTGCTGGGGACCTGAGCCGCCTTCCCCTGTGAGACTCAAGGGCCCACAGTCTCACCTGAGTGAGTGCCTTAAACAGAAGTCTTAACTTCACAGGCTGAAGGTCTTTTTTTTTTTTTAAGGGTTTATTGAGCCATTGTTAGTAAAAAAAAAAATAATAATAAAAAAAGAAAGGAGCCGGCCAGCGTGGCTCAGTGGTTGAGCGTTGACCTATGAACCAGGAGGTCATGGTTCCATTCCCAATCAGGGCACAGGCCCGGGTTGCGGGGCTCAATCCCCAGTGTGGGGTGTGCAGGAGGCAGCTGATCCATGATTCTCTCTCATCATCAGTGTTTTTATCTCCCTCTCCCTTCCTCTCTGAAATCAATAAAAATATATTTTAAAAAATAAGGAAGGAAGGAGGAAAGGGAGAAAGAACCAGGTCCTGGGACAGGGGGTCTGAAACCCGCAGCTGCGCCTGGCGGAAAAGCCAGCATGTCCGCTCCTGGAGTTGAGCGTCTTATACACCAAATGGAGGGACAGAGATCTGGGTGGATCTGAAAGCTGCGAGGTGGCCACAGGAAGACGTGCCCGCGCCTGTGGGCTGGCCGGGGAGAGAGACGGGAGAGTCCACGTGTGAATAAGCAGAGGCTCCTGGCGACGGTGGCACCTGGCGGCTCCCCCTTGTAGGTAAACGTGGACAGAGCTCCTGGCAGTTAGCGGATGTTCCCACACGCACGCAGGGTGTGCCCGGCGTCTGTTGGTTTTGCCCGGCAGTTGTTAACCGATCCACCCCTCTCGTCTCCTCCTCCCGCCCTCTGGCCTGGGATCATTTACTTTGGGGCGGCTCACAGCACAGGATGGTCAGGGCCAGCTGGCCCAGCCCGAGGCCTCAACCGTCCCAGGCCTGCCTGCCGCCCCTCACCGCTGCTCTTCCCTTCCCTGTCACCTAACGGCTGAACTCGTCTTGGCAAAGGGGACCCAGGTCATTCCGGAGGGAAATCGATTCCTGCTTGTTTGGGAATCACCCAGCCCTCTTTGGCCGTCGGCCACCCCCAATGGATGTCGGTGCCAACTCTGGGCAGCAGGAGCAGAGGCCGCCCCAGCCCACTGCCCAGGCTCTGAGCCGGTCAGCCCTCGGGCTTCCGTTGCCGCTGCCCGTCCAGTCACCCACCACCTCTGGTGGGTACTGGCCAGAGCTGAGTAAGTGGGAGGAGATGGTGGCACAGAGAGGGTCTCACGGTGGCTTTACTCTCTCGGAGGAAGACGTGGCCAGTGATGCCACCAGAGTCCCCTCCCCGTGAGGCCCAGCTCAGAGGCGAACACCGGCCTGCCTTGCATTTCCCAGGGCTAGCCCTCTGGGAATCCCGCAGGCCAGCCAGCAGCCTGTGGAACCTGTTTTTCCTACCTGAACCCAGGATCAGGGGCCTGATGCAAAATGACAATGTGGGGGCCCTCTGTTCAAACCCATTCGGAATCTCAGGATGGTGTCAGCGGCGTCAAACCCTGCGTGAGACCCTTCGAAGTACGGGTTGTGCGAAGGTGCAGTTTGCAGGCCTGGGAAACTGGCTCGCCCCACACCGCCTGGGGCTCTTAGGGAGATGGATTTTTTGGTACAAAGCAAATGCTTCCTTTAATGAGGAAAGTGCTGGGTTTATCTCCAAGCCTCTGGCCAGTATGTCTCCAGAGAATGTCCCCAGGGCAGGGTTGGCCTGGGAGAAGCCTGGGTCACAGTGCAAGGTGGTCGGACTGGCTTCGTGCTGGGACGGCTCCCCAGCGTCTCCTTGGGTGTGGTGGCTGGTGTGTGACATGGCCCTTCTCCGAGCCTCAGTTTCCCTGATTATAGAAAAGAGTTACACGAAATGACTTCCAAGATTCTCTTCCACTCAGGCCTGTTATGGTTCGAGGTTTATTTGCCACCTGTTGGCACTGCTCCCCTCCTACTCCCCCCTCACCCCCCAGACCCCACGGGGAAAGCATGCCCTGCCCACCGGCCTCTGTGGGATTAGCCCATACAAAGAACACCGAGTCCAGTTGCCTCAGAGCAGCCGCCTGCACACAGCGTCCCACCCCCGCGGCAGCTCCAGCTGTTGCCCACAGGGGCCGGCTGTTGGCTGCGGGCCGCTCCTCTGGGACAGCACGTAGCTGCATTTTTTGCATCACTAATCTCCAGCCCAGACTGCCGCCCCACCTTCAGGGGCCTGGAAAATGGCAAATTCCTCCATTCCTTCCAGAGACCCGCATGCCCCAGAACTTCCGAGGAAACAAATTCCCCCAAGCTCCAGGAAAATGACAGAATCCCCTTTCCCAGCATCCTCAGATGCATGGGCCACGCTCCCGCGAGGGGTGAGGCAGAATCTGGTTGGTTGCTGCCTACAAGTCCGTCATTTATCTGATTGTGGCCGTGTTTCAGTTCTGCCTAA